AATGATACATTTATTTATACAAAGTTTTTGATTTTACAGGAGATTGAAGAAGCTCTACAAAAGTTCTCCAAACATCCACATCTTGTCCACACGGATAGTGTGTTTGTAGTTATCATGTCTCACGGATCTCTGCAAGGTGTCTGTGGCACTGACTGCAAACCTTTTGAAATTGAAAACATTTACAAGAGCCTAAACACACAGAATTGTCCTGCACTACATAACAAGCCCAAGGTGGTCATCATCCAGGCTTGTAGAGGAGGTGATTCATTCATCCTAGAAGTTTCAAGCTGCATTTACAGTTTCATATAGAAGTGGCGTGAGCTTAAATGTCCTGTGAGCAAGTTTTTCGTGGCTGCATGATTATGTTTGTTCCTCTGAATGGACGCTCACTCTTTGTGTCTGATAGGCTTTTTTAGGTATTTACAGTCTGAAGTTTCCCTTCAATCAGAGCTCGTTTCACCACATCATAGTTCTTCACAGAAGCAGCTCAAATGACTGTCAAAGGCTTCACACAGGAATTTTTATGCAACATATCAGTGCAAAGCTGTTCAAATGTTCACATGTTCAAATACAAAAAGAGTATTTGCTGCAGGATCACTGCTGACCTGTAAGATGATCAAGCTAAATATTATCACGTATTTCTGGGTAACCCTGCATGGTTGTTGTAGGTCAGGCGGGTTCGGTGGTTTTACATGATGAAGTTTTAACCACTATTGGAAGAGACATCGAGACAGATGCTGTGGTACACAAAGAAAAGGACTTCATCTCTCTGCTGTCCTGCACCCCTAGTGAGTGTTCCAGTAACAAGTAACTCCAGCCTTCAGTAACGAGTCATTGACACCAGCAGCACAAATTGTCCGTTTCTTTTGGCTTGCAGATACGACTTCATACAGAGATGAGTCATACGGCTCTTATTTTATCCAATATATTGTTGAGATATTCAAAGAGTTTGCTGATGTGGATCACATTGAGGAACTGTTCAGAAAAGTGAGCTCAACAAGTGAATTCTTTTATTTCTTCATTTGAACTTCATAAATTGGATAGGCTAAAAGTTTGGATCTAGAAAAGACACCAGTCAGTGATGAAGCTGCCTTTCTTTCAATGCTACAGGTCATGCAGCGCTTCGAGGAATCGGAGTTTGGTGAAATTCAGATGCCAAGCAAAGACAGATGTACTCTGACCAAGAACTTCTACCTGCTTCCCTACTAAAAGAAGACAAGTCTCAGCAATGGTAA